GTCGAAGCAGGTCCTTCTGGGCCTGGGCAGCTCGGGGGACCTCTCTTCTAATGGCAGGCATTCCCAGTTTTTGTGTAGGAAGCTCTGTTGACATAACTGGTGGAGGATGTGCCGGGAAAGGGGTGTGTAGACGTACTCTCCAACCTCCCTTCTGTTTGGAGAGGCAGTTTAGTCTGCACTAATGAGAGGCAAGCTGTGAAATGCGGGGTGTTAGTGAGGGGAGGTACTGTGCCCGCTTTGGCTGTTGGGATGTGCTTGTGCACTGCCAGCACAGTGGCCCTCATCCCCATGCCTTGACAGTAGCCACGGCAGTGCCCTCTTGAACTTGCCTGCCAGTGGTGGCTTCAGAAGTAACTTCTCCTTGCAGATGATAGTTCCAAATGGCTCTCGGAGCCGCACTTGTAAGTCCGACCTGAAAAGGCCCTTCCAGACCCCCCAGCAAGTTCTGGGCCCTGATTCCCCATGTCCGATCCTTTACAGTTTACACCCCCGAGTGACTTCTACCGACCTCGTATGTATGCCTGGCTTCGCACAGGCACTGGCATTTTTTTTTTTTTTTAAATTTTAATTCTGATTCCTCTCTTCTTGATCAGGACTACAGGAGAATTATCCATGGTTTTAAGCCCTTGTGGAAAACACTAGCTTCTGATTTTAACTTGATTTTTGTAGGTCTTTGCTTTGGTCTTTGTTTTGTAGGTCTTTGTTTTTCATTATCTTAGGGTCTTTGTTTTATTGTTTCTTTCCTTCAAAAGTTGAATTCTATGGTCCTTTATATTATTACCTAAGTTGCATCCTCAGCTGATTAATTTTCAGACTTTAAAGACACTTTTTCTGAAAAAGAACTTAATCCTATATTTTTAAAGTATAATACAGCTGCAACACATGTATTCATTTGCAATAGATCTATATTGTTTAGCTCAGAATATTTTAAAATTTTAATTATATTTTTTTCTCTGAACTAAGAACTAATTAACTTTTTTTTTTTTTTTGTACTAGAGATTGATCCCAGGTATATTTAACCACTAAGCCACATCCCCAGCCCTTTATAGAAAATTTTGAGACAAGGTCTTGCCCAGTTGCTCGGGGCCTCCCTAAGCTGCTGAAGCTGACTTTGAATTTTGTTCTTCTGCCTCAGCTGCCTGAGCCACTGGAATTATAGGTGTGCACTACCACAACCAGCAACAAGATGTTGTAACTTTACTCATGTAGAGGGAGTGTAAACAAATGTGTGTGTGTGTGTGTGTGTGTGTGTTTAATATCTAACTTTCTTGTACTGTATATTTATTATACAGAGAATGTCGTTTGTATAGTAATGATTCTTAAAGATGTGTTGAAGCTTGGCTTATGGCCCATAGGCCCATAACATTTTTATAAATGTTCCATGCATGCTTTAGAAGAATTCTGTGGCTTTAAGAAGCAGGTCAGCATAGCTGACTGCATTGTTCAAATATTCTACATTATTTTTCTGGTTTTTTGATTGCTTGTCCTATCAATTATTTAGAAAGGAGTATTACAAGCTTCCTGTACTTTGGTAGATTTGCCAATTTCTTTTGAAATTCTGCTGTTTAAATAAATAAATGTATATATGCATATATGTAAAACACTGTCAACTAGATTGGTTTGTTTAATTTTTTATTTTTCATTGTACATGGACACCATACTTTTATTTATTTTTATGAGGTGCTGAGGATCAAACCCAGTGCCTCACACGTGCGAAGTAAGAGATCCACCACTGAGCTATAACCCCAGCTTAAAATATTTTTGCAGTTATATTAATAAGTGCATGCAAATTTTAGTTTTTTAAAATTCCCCTTATAGAAATGTTAACAAAATTGATAATTTTAATATGGTGTAGGACTTCATTTATCTCTAATAATACTTATTACTTCAAAGAATATTTTTCTATTATTAATGCCAATTATATTGTTAGTGTTTTAAATTTATATCTTCTTATTTTATACTTTTCTGAGTCTTTCTGTCTTAGATGAGTCTTCAGTGTAGCATATAATATTTATTAATAAAAGATAAAACAACCCGATTAATTAGTGAGTGTAATCCATTTACACTGATAATGATTATTGACATATTTTACTTCTACTATCTTGTTTTTATGTTATTTTTTCCCATATTTTCTTAGAATTTTATTTTCTCTCACTTTTGGGTTGACTGAGTATTTCTTATTTTTTCCTCTTTGCAATAATTTTTTCCTCTACAAATTGGAAGAAATGTATTATAGTGATTTCCCTGAAAAAAATTAAAATACATTTAAGTTTATAAAAATCTGAATTTAATTAATATCTTTATTTTATTTCTAAAAATTTAAAAAATCTTGGAAAGCTTTAATCCCTCCCACGCCCTCCCAGTCAATGTCCTAGTGTTCTCCAATATTTTCATGCTTATTTTCTTTCCTGGGATTTGTTTGGCTTCTTGAATCTGAAGATTTATGTCTGTTATTAATAAGGAAAAATTTTCAACCATTCTCTCTTTAAATATCTTTTTTCTTCCTCATTGCATTATCCTTAGTAACTTTGAATAGGTGCATGATAGGGCATCTTACTCTATCGCTATTTCTCAATTTCTTGTTAATATTTTCTTTTCCCTTTTAATATCTGTATGATTCATTTTGGGACATTTCTTCAAATCTATCTTTCACCTCATTAATTCTCTCTTCAGAGATATATAGTCGGTTTTAACTCATCCTTTGCTGTTCTAACTTAATTATTTTAAAAAAATTAATTATTTTTTACATTTTTCCAATTTTAGAAAAATTTTCAAATCTTCATGATTATTTAGGTGTTTGTATCATGGGTCAGAGATGGTTAATTTCTTCAAACATACAAGTTGTGCATTTAGGTGATTCGGAATTTTGCTTCTTTGTGGGCTTGCTTTCGGTGTTTTTTGCTTTTGGAGTTTTTGCTTCCATTTGTTCTCACTCGGGGTAGCTTGTATCCTTGTATGTCTGGCCTGATTTTCAATTGTGAAATGTCCCTTATTGATTTATGAACAGAAATGCCTGGAGGCCTGGGCTAAAGTCGTGTTCTGTGCCTACGGACACAAAGACCAGGGATTATAGGGGCCACAGGGGTAGAGTGAATTTACTCCCAAATTCAGTGAGAACCAGTGTGTAGTTAGAAATCCTCGGGGAATTTCTCCCTCCCTAAGAACCACTCTGAAGCAATCTTCCCATACTCTCTCTTGCTGATGCTCGTGAACTTCTGAGGGTCCTGTGTTCCTGACGTGGTGGCCTCTGACCTGCTCCAAGGCCACATAGATCCTAGGTGAGCTCTTCCATTTTCCTTGCCCAGCCCGGGGCGTTACCCCGCCACTGCATCTGCCAGCCTTAGCCCTTGCTGACACTTTTCTGTTCAGGGTGTTTCACCATTTATGGCCTGTGAGAATTGCCTTTAAATTCTTGCCAGGCTAGCTATAAAAAAATTTTTAGAAATGAACATTTTATATAATAGTTTTGTATTTGGAGGGTTTTGAGCCTGTGCCATTAGTTATCTTAGTAAAATAGAAAGTACTAGAATTCTGTGGGAGATTAGGCTTACCTGATTCAGGTAGATGGAATGCTAAGTTCCCTATGCATGATAGATGCAGAATCTCCAAAGACACCTGCAAAGCCTAAAGTTAAGCTAGAGGACCCCAAGATTTCAGTCCTTCAAACAACCATGTCAGGAGGCTCCCATTCTCTCCTGTTATGAGCTTGGTCTCTTCAGTTGCAAATCTGCTTAGGGAAAATGCATATCACTATTAAAAAAAAAATAGTCCCAGCCTCGCTAAAAAGAATGTCCAGTCCTCTTGGAAACCCCCTTTCTTCCTTATTATCTTTTCCATGACATCAGACACTGCTTTACAATTATATGCAGAACATTTGTAAAGCAAAATTTCAAGTCTGCAGTGGAGGTAGGATTATACCAAGTTGATGAAATTGATGTACAACTGTCTATATCTTATGCAAAGCCTTTGAAAAGCAGCTCTGGAGAAGGTGAGGCTGCCAACCAGCGAGGAGTAGGAAATGGAGAGGGACCGTGATGTGAAAAGTTTCAGCAGATCACGAGGAACACTTGGGAGCATTGGTGAAGGGGCTCAGACATTTTGCAAAATGGATTCTCTTTTTGGAATTTTTTCTTTTTCTTTTCTTCTTCTTCTTTTTTTTTTTTTTTTTTTTTTTGTTTTTTTTGTGGTGCTGGGGATTAAACCCAGGTCCTTGTGCATGTGAACTAAGCACTCTACCAACTGAGCTAGATCCCCAGCTCTGGATCCTCTTTTTGGTTGTGCTGCCTGGAATGTGGTGTGTCCAGCTGTGAGTCCTTCCCCATTAATACTCAATGTGTGGTTTGTTTAATAATAACCTAAAATAACGTTAAATATGAACCAAATGATTTTTAAAATTTATTTTTGGTTGACACAGAATTATTATCATGTTTATGGGGAAATGAATTTGATTTGACTTCTGGTTCAACATAAAACCCAGTTAAATGGTTTTGGTTGCTGTGAAATATTAATTCTGTTTTAAGTGGATTCACTTGAGCTGGCTTTTCTTCTTGCACCAACTTAATGATCATGAGGCCTCCGTCGCAAGCAATGTAAACATAGGTTGGATGGAGTTCCGTTTCCTTTAAACTAGAGAACTCAGGGAGAGCATGGCCAGGGATCAGGGGAGAGCACTGTGCTGGCCTTTTATTTTTTGTGTAGTCCAATTTTAAATGATCCTTTTCTCTGTGTTCCTTGAGCATCTTCATTTGGAAGGTCACTTTGGTATACAAGGACATTTGTGACCCTTTAGGGAAGATTCAGAGTCGGGAATATTCAATACCTATTCAGAGTCTGGTGTTTCTGAGACTATTCTGCAAAAGGGACTATGAATTGTCCCTGCAATTCTTTTAGTCCTGGGAATGCCACCATGCTCTATGGGGGGAAATAGATATAACTGGATACTTTAGCAGTTTCTGCTTGTCCTGTGTCTTGTCATTGAGGACGTTTCTTCCTGTTTGCAGGTTGATCAAAAGAACTGCTGCTATTTGAGATTTGAGCTGAGAAGGTATCCTCCAGATTGGGCAGAGACTCAGCCAGTGTCCTGACCCCTTTCCAAGTATGTAACAGAGGGGCAAGCAGCATGTGGACGTCCATCTTCATATCTTAATGACCAGTGTGAGAGGCAGCTTCACGGGGAAACATATTGACACAGGTCTGGGGAGCCTGCATCTGGATCCTAGCTCCACCCCTTCCTAGGTGTGTGGCTTGGAGAAGCTGCTTAACCTCTCTGTGTTTTGTTACCTTATCTGAAGAAAAAGTGTTATTTTTTTAATCTCATCAATTATTATGAAGGTCCCCATGAGCTATTGTTGGGGACCATCTTAGGAAATGTCAACTAAGTGTTAAAATAAATTGCATAGAGCATAGGGCTCATCATATTGAGGAATGAATGAATTCTGAGATTTTAGAAATCAAGTTCCACAGAATAGCTGAAAGGGGCATGTGTGTGCGTGCATGCAGGTGTGTGTGTGTCTGTGCATGTGTACATGGCTTTTCTTCTTGCGTATCTGTGTGCATGTGTACATGGCTTTTCTTCTCGCGTATGTGTGCATGTGTGTGCCTGGGCATATGTGCATGTGCATTTGAAGATGACTCTGAATTAAGGACATTTGGCACCATTAAATTCTCTTCAAATGTCGGGAGTCCAATACTGGCACATGGAAAGTGAAGCCAATATTGGCTGGAACTGGAGGATTCTAAATTATTCATGAAGGCTTTGCAATCGTGAATCCTTTAATTCCAGTGCAACTCTAGTACAAAAGGCAAAGCCAATGTTTGCTGGTTATGGAATTTGTAAAATCAGATTCTTCAGCTGTGACAACCTGGAGCGACTGCTTCTTAATAGGAGGTATCAGCTGCCGGTACCTATTGCTTCAATCGATGAGACCACCGAGGAAAGCCCAGGAGAGACCACGCTCAGTGAAAAGACGCCCCCGCAGGTGTTTTTAACCCCTGGACCTGCTCTGGAGCTTGTGGGACTGTTGGGTCAGCTACATGAAGACTGAGGCTCTGAGGTAAGCGAATGGCTTTCCAAGTGCAGCACTCCCCTGTTCCTGGAGTTGAGACGTACATTTGGGGATTTTCTTATTGGCCAAGGGCCATCTTCATGACCCTGACTTTTGTAGCTTTGCACTGGTCCAGCCACTGCCTGCCGTCCCCTCCCCTCCCCTCCATTCTCTTCCCCCTCTCCAACTTCCCACTTATTGATCCCAGGGCAGAGCTCACCGACTGAGGAAGGAAGTCCTGTCTCCCATCTGCACTCTTTTCTGGTTTGGTTCTTGACATGGGTGCTTGCGGAGCTGCCCAGGCTGGCCTTGAAAGCGCCTGGGCCCAAGGGGCCTTCCTCAGGGGGCCTCCGCCTCCAGAGCAGGCGGGACTCAGGCGGCAGCACAGTGCCCCCCATCTGCACTCCAGAGCACGCTTTCTTTCCCCTTCACTCAGCGTTAGAGGGCAAAACCTGTCCGCCTCATGTTTCCAGGGGGAAGGAGGCGTCAACAAGCACGGGAATCGTCTTGACACGGTTTAAACCCTCACCCGCCATGAGACCCAGACACTAAATCAATAGCTACCAAAGCATTGGGTCTGGGACTTTCAGTTCAGTTCAGAAAGGCAACTTGAGACACCTCAGCCCCAGCCACAGTGCTGCACAGATGCCTCAATAATGGAGGTCACAGTCACAGTGACAGGTGACACCCACTGACTTCTGAGTGTCTCTTGGTATCATTCAGAACATTCTATGCCTGTGAGTCAATTTTTTCTCTTTTATTTTTTAATTTGTTCTAATGAGTTATGCATGACAGTAGAACACATTTTGACACATTGTACACAGATGGAGCTTCTCCTTCCTCTGGCTGTACATGCATATACATGTATGATTTCACCACTCCAGTGGTGAAATCATACATGTATATAGGGTAATCATGTCCATCTCATTCCACCGTCCTTCCCCTCCCCTCCTTTCCCCTCACTCACCTCTGCACAATCCAAAGTTCCTTCATTCTTCCCTACCGTGCCCCCTCCATTATGGATCAGTATCTGCTTATCAGAGAAAACATTCAGCCTTTGGCTTTTCTGGTTTTGGCTTATTTCTCTTAGCATGATATTCTCCAGCTCCATACATTACCTACAAATGCCATCATTTCATTCTTCTTTAAGACTGAGTAATATTCCATTGCATACCACATTTTCTTTACCCATTCATCTGTTGAAGGGCATCTAGGTTGCTTCCATAGCTTAGCTATTGTGAATTAAGCTGCTATAAACATTGATGTGGCCGTGTCACAGTAGTATGCTGATTTTAAGTCCTTTGGGTACAACAGATGGCAAACTGAGGTGCTAAGCAGATGTGTGACTTGCTTGAAGACTTGAAGCTAGTACTAGGTGACAGTACCTAAGTTCAGACCCAGGTGGTCTGGTGCCTCATTTCACTGACTCCGATAACAATGATGACCGTCAAGGGACGGCATTCGAGGTGTTGGTTTGGCAGGGCTACAGTCCTACAGTCCCAGACGCGAGCCTGGTGTTGTGTGAAGTGTTTTCAGGTATAACTAAGCCCCTACTCGGTGGAGCCCAGGGGATTACCCCGGGTGAGCTGGGCAGGACTGAGGCTCCCCAGTGAGAAGGGCTCTTCCTGCCTGTCCCTGGAGCCCATCCTGCCCACCACCTCCTGCCCCGTGGGTCCCCTGGCTTGGCCACCCTGCGCTCCACGGCCCATTTCTTGGAACTACCCTCTTCATGGGTGTTCTCCGGCCCCACCCAGCTTCCCTGAAGGACTGTGACTGAGTCCACCAGGACGCCAGCTCACCCTCTGAAATTGCCTGGAGCTGTTACTGGCCCTCTGCCCTGGACCATTCCCCTCTCTCCAGGGACTCCAGCGTCTCCCTCTCCCCTCCCAGGGCCACTCAGGAACCACTCCAGACAGAATGGGTGCGATCTCTGCTGGTACTATAGGTCAATTCCGTCCCCCTCTTGCTGTGGACGGCAGTGGCCCATCGCTCATATCCGTCCTCAGAGCCAAGAGTGACACTGGCTCTGGTGTTGTGTTTGTGGACGTACAGGACGGGCAGCGTGCGGGTCGCCTTCCGGCTCTTGCCGTCAGGAACTTGGCTTTTCTTACTAATTGGCAGTGAGTGTTTTTAAACTAGGAGACAACAGAGCTAGAAAACACCGGGATCGTGGTGACAACTGGTGACACCCGTCATGATTAACTTTAGAGTTGCACCTCGTGGACTGTGTTGTGCTTAGGATGCGGGGAGTCCCCAGGTTCACATGTGGAAAGCCGGGTCCCCAAGGCAGCGGAGTGCAGGGGCGGGGCTCTTGGCAGTGAGGGATCTCCAGGGCCCTGACCTGGGACTCTCCGCGGAGGGGTGAACATGGGACTGGCAGGTGGGGAAAGCTGTGGGAGGCGGGGCCTTGTTGGAGGAAGCAGGTCACTAGGTGCCCGGCAGGGTGTACCTCGTCCCTGGCCCTGTCCTCCCTGTCTCTGCTTCCCAGCTGCTGTGGGCTGAGCAGCTGTCCTCCTCCGTGCCCTTCCACCGTGGGGACCTGCCTCACCTTGGGCCCAGGGCTCTGCAGCTGGCCAATGACGGATAGACCAAATAAATGAGCCAAAAGACGTCTTTCCTCCTCTAGGTTGTCCATGTCAGGTGTTTTGGACCCAGGGATGAAAAGTGGACAGACTGCAAGGCTTGACCCTCTTCTTCCCTAGTTCAATTTGTCGCATTTCCCTAAGTTCTGGGAAGAGTGAATGGAAGTGTGCTTTGCCCGGGGCCATCACTCATCGGTAACCTCCAATACAGAAACCAGAGATTAGGGCGCCTTTGTAGGAACGCTGGGCAGGGGAAGCTTTCTGCCCCCACGTCCAGGCCTTGAATTGGCCGAAACCCCACAGGGTCTTTTAATTCTGTCTCTGGTTCAGGACTTTTCTCTTTTTGTGAAACAAGCAAACGTGACTTCCTCAAGTTGGTATCTGTTCTCTGAAGTGGCAGGAGGCGGCCGAGGTTTCCAGGAAGCAGTGAGCTCCTTCCCAGGCAGAAGCAGTGTGGACAGCAGTTTCCTTTGACGGCGTTCCAGTGTGGAGCTGTTCGGCTTCGTGTCCTGCACACTGGGTGGGCCTGCTGGGTGGGACCCCACAGGTCTATGTGTGTGAACGCTGCCTTCTCTCCAGCGGGTGACAATTTGACTGTGGTGCTTGGCTGCATGTTACATGGTCAAATCAAGCCTCTGCTGCAGGGTGGTACTGACCTGGGTGTCACACATATTTTTTGCTGCAAATGCACACGCGAGCTAGGCCTGTCTGAAGAAAATACAGCCCCAGGCAGCACCTGGTGGTGACTGTGAACTGCACATTCAACACGTGGACAACTCAGGTGGCACTTCCCGGTTAGCAGTCTTTAAGGAAACTGCTTGGATGGGGTTAAACACCAACTAGTTCTGGCTTTGAGGGAGAAGTCCTTGTCATTTCTGAGGTCTCATTCATTTTCATTTTTCCCAAGGATCATATGTGTAATATGCGACTTTTTTTTTTTTTTAAACTCATCAGAAAAAGAAATGGTCTTCCTTAATTATGTTCTAACAAGGTTCCAGGGAGTAATTCACAAAGGTGCTCTCTCCGCGCCCTTGATCTCCCTTTCACATTTTCTGTCCCAGTTGTGTCATACATAAACATGCCCCAGGCAGTCTGGAGGCTGCCAGCATTTGGGGGTTAATAGAGCTTGGGTTCTCTCCAGGCGTCAGAACTCTGAGGAACAGAGGTTCTTATTTTCCCTTTGGAGGCCTGCAGCCTGGGGCGAGGAGGCTGGAGGAAGCCCGCCGCGCTCTGCTGTCTTTGCACCAGGTGGGGAAACTGAGGCGTGGGGAGCTGGAAGCTCTCTTTCTTATCTGATTGTCAGAGGTGAGACCACGATGACTCCCGGTCAGGGCGGTCAGGAGCCCACAGCACTTCAGGAAGCCCCTAGAGAGCTCTGCAGGAAAGGTGCCCGCAAGAGAGACACACCCAGCGGTGGCTGAAGCTCAGAATGGAGCGGCCCGAAATGACTGAGGTGCTTTCAGTTCACACTCCGGTTCACCTGGTATCTAACTGAATTCCAGGAAGGAGGAATTTAGATGCCCCTCAAGGATTTTTCAGTTTCTCCTAGAGGACAGCCCTGAGGACGTGGCACTTAAGTAGTGAGCAATAGAGGGAGCAGGGGCCTGGGGTGGCCAGACCTGAAATGAGAGCCCACTCCGGGACGTGCCCGCTCTGCACTGTGGTGGCTACCTTGGCCTCTGGTGCCTCAGTTTCCCTGTGAGCCTTCCAGGTGCCTGACCACCCTCCCTACTTGACTGTGGCAGGCATTTGGTAAACACCATCACGCTCAGTGGGTTCAAGAGCCTGAAGCCACCTCTGTGAACTGCACGTCTGATTCCTAAGGGAAGCTGCTCTGTTCTGGGGGACAGTGGCTGTTTTCATATTTAGATGATTCTACTGGGAAATCGCTCGGAAGGCTTGGAGGGTTTCACTGGAAGGAAAATACCAGTTGAACCTCATGTAGTGCTAATCTGTCCCTTGAAATGAAAAGCTATATTCAATTCTATAAAATGTCAATCAGATCATTTATTTATTCAACCTATTAAGCGCACCATGGAGCGCTCATGGTTTATCGGGGGAAAGAGACTCACAAGTGAATATTCTGATGATGCATGGTTAGCTGGAGCAAGTGACCTCGGAATTTGGTGGTGGCAGAGGGAGCTAGGAGAGGCTTTGGTGGCCAGCCTACCTCTGGCTGAGTGGTGGAGGAGCCCTAGGGATTTGCTGGGAGAGGTGGGGTGCAGGCCATGGGAGGAGGAATGGTTTTCTTGTGCTCAGGAGGTTGGTTTTCTGTAAAGGCCTGATGACCAGAGTGTCAGGACTTGCTCCTGAGGTCCAGGAGGCCAATCAGTGCTGGGCCCTGGGATCCAGGGGCTGGGATTGAGCAGAGTTCCCTTATTCTGGCCCAGTGGCACCTCAAGGTAAAGACATGCGTGGCCCAGAGGC